TGCAATAATGACAGTTTAATCAATTTTACTTGTTCATATAGTGTCATTTTGTGTGTGGTTATGTACTGGCAATGTAACCTTATCTGATTGTTATCATGACATTATGCATTAAATAATGACATTGTATGAATATGTGTGAGCTTCAAAGCAAAATGACATCACATATAATGAGAAATTGAGAAACTGATGCAATAATGACAGTTTAATAAATTTTACTTGTTCATATAGTGTCATTTTGTATGTGGTTATGTACTGGAAATGTAACCTTATATGAATGTTATCATGACATTATGCCTTAAATAATGACATTGTATGAATATGTGTTAGGTTGAAAACAAAATGACATCACATATAATGAGAAATTGAGAAACTGATGCAATAATGACAGTTTAATAAATTTACTTGTTCATATAGTGTCATTTTGTATGTGGTTATGTACTGGAAATGTAACCTTATATGAATGTTATCATGACATTATGCATTAAATAATGACATTGTATGAATATGTGTGAGCTTCAAAGCAAAATGACATCACATATAATGAGAAATTTGAGAAACTGATGCAATAATGACAGTTTAATAAATTTTACTTGTTCATATAGTGTCATTTTGTACGAAGTGTCATTATTGTTAGTCATTTACATGGTGATTAAAGTGCATATATATGTGTGAACTTGACAGACAATAACAAGAGCTTTTAAGAAGTCAGTGTTACTGAAGTTGGAAGACTTGCGTGTCAACTCCTACTGCAATGTTGCTGAGGTTCTTAAGAAAATAAAGACATATCTAAGCACAGAGGAACTGACAGAGTTCAAGAATATTGTATTTGGTTGGATGTTAAGAATAGAAGATATTCCTTGGCTGAGTGGACAATTGATTTGGGGATTGATTGGAAACTTTGTGACTGAAGTTAATGGAAAGACAGATGACAGTGTCATCAGGTTTAACATTAAAGACAGTGTGATTAGTTTTCAGAAGCATGATCTTGCAGTAATGTGTGCTTTAAAGTTTGGAGCTGTGAAACCAAATATTTCTGAATAGCTTGAAGGATATATATGGACAAATTATTTAGGAGGCAAGACAACTGTGACTCGTGCAGATATTCAGAATGCATTGAAAAATTACAAGAGCACTGATGATAGCAGACTGACAAATGATGGAGTCAAACTGGCACTACTATACATAGTTTCACACTGCTTATTTGGGAATCAAGCTGCTAGACCCATGAAGGCATACTACATAAATTTAGTTGATGACTTGGATGCATTCAATGCTTATCCATGGGGTGATGACGTTTGGGTGGACTTGGTTAACAAGGTGAAACAGAGCTGTGAGGCATTAGATAAAGGAAAAGCAGACAGAGTAACATTCCCTGGCTTCATAATGGCATTCCAGTGGTGGGCATTTGAAACTTTTCCTGGTTTATCAAAGGCTAGCTTATGCAAAGTCGTCAAGGGGACAAGACATGTCATACCAAGGACTCTAAAGTGGGAGTTTAAAAAAAAACCTACACTGGAGGTCCTTTCTGAAATTATATTCAAGAATGACAAGGTATGTTATTGATTAATATGTAAATTTTTAAATGTTTATGTGCACACATTGTTTACTAACATGGTTTTTTGTTTTAGTTTGAATGGGCACAGATAGTACCAACTGCAGATGAGATTGCTATGATAGAAGAGGGAAATGACATAAATGAGGAGGTGATGCACCTTGTGATAAACAATGTTGGCAGGATTGATGCTCAAAAGCCAAATACTATTGTAGCAAAAGGGAAACAAAAGGTGATGCAGGCCAAAGTATTCAAAAGAAAAAAAACAAAAGCTGGGAGGAGCACAGGTAAAGCAATCAAATCTCAAGAAGGGCCTTCTAGAAGAAGAAGAAACAATACTACAGTAGAAAAAGAGAGTGATAATGATTCAAGTGATCAAGAAAGTGATGAAGGTGAAGAGACCGATAGTGATGATTCTAGTGAGAGTGAAAGGGAAGCAGATAAGTATGTATTCTTCATGAGCAAAGACAGCAAAAGTATTAAAAAGAGCATCAGAAAACAAGCAAAGGAGACTGCCAGATTAGTGGCAGAAATGAAAAATATGAAGAAGAATCAAAAAAAGCAAGAGGATCTTTTGAAAGATGTCATTCTGATGCTCAACAAAATGTCACAGGGTGTTGAGAAGAGTGAGCCTACAAAAGCAACTGCAGAGGGTGATACAGATGAAGAAGAAAGTGGAGAAGAAAAAGAAGAAAATGAAAAAGAAAAAGAAGATGATGTGATAGCCATGACTGGGCCAGATTCTGAGAATGATGTTGCTGATATGGCTGTGGAAGAGGACACTAGGTTGATGAATGCAGAGGCTGAGGATGGTGTTGTACAGAATGATGATGTTGTAGAGAATGAGCATGCTAGTAAAGAGAAACAGGCAGCAAATGTTCAGAGTGAGGATTCATGTGTGAATAAGGATGCTGATGCAGAGGTTGAGGATGATAAAGAAGAGAATGAGGATGCAGAAAGAAATGAAAACGAAATGCAAGAGAAGAACACTGAGGAGATAGAAAAGAACACTGAAGAAGCAATTTGTGACATGCCTACATTCAAAATACTCACTCAGTCTCAAGGTAGTCAGAAAAAAATGAAGACAGTGTCCAAATGCAAGAGGAGGGACTACCTGCACAGGAAAATAAAAAAGACACTGGTGAGTCTGCTTGGGGGATGGGCTCACAGGAAAATAGTCAGTTTGTCCAAGAGATGTGCAGGAGTGCAGATGAAGTGGCAAAAAAGGCTTTTGAAAGCTATTCTTCTAATCCATGCAGAGCACTCATAATAACTGATCAGGTAAATGCAAAAACTCAGTAAAATGCCATTCATGTGGCATTTTCAATTGTTAAACTGACATTCAACTGCCAATGTTTATGAACATTTTGTACTATGACATTGACTGTATCTTACTTCTTTTAAATAAACATATAACAACATAGTAAATAATATATATTATGCCAATGCCTTAGGAGGATCTTCCCAAACAAAAGCGTGTTGTTAGGTCACCAGTCAAGTACATGGGAACTGAGCATGCATCAAAGAGGAGGAAGAGAGAAAAGGGAAAGAAAAGAGAAGATGATGAATTTCTGCCACCTCTGAAGCAAATAATTGGACCTTTCTCTGAAGATCCAACAGAGAACCCACCGATTGAAGAAATACAGAAGGTGAAAGAATACTTAGAAGTTGGATTGCTGAAGAATTTCACAAAAAACAAAACTGGCAGAAGGTACAAAAAGGACGAAGACAGAATGACCAACAAACCATTCTTGCTAGATACAATGAAAGTTGAATCAAAAACATGGTTATATGACCTGTTTATGAATCACCAATGGATCACTGACAAGGTACGCATACAAATGATCATATAGTTGTCAGTTTAATGACAAAGTGTAAATTTAAATACATCTGAGTCAGTACAGAATGACATTATTAGTCAGTTTGCTTTACCTTTAAATGATAAATGTGTATTTTACTTCTTACAGCGTGTTGAGGTAGTAATGTACTATTTGGGCATGAAAAGGGTGCATTACAAACTGCCACAGAAGTATACCACAACTGGCCCTTTTTTCTTGCAAATACTCAAGCGTGAACTTGACACAATATCAAAGGGGCACTACACATACCACAAGTCAGCAGAACAAGATAACATTGTGCGTGAAATAATAGGTGCTAACAACTATAGCCTACACTGGAGCAAGGCAGACTATGTGTACTTTCCTCTGAATACTGGCAATCATTGGGTGTTGTTAGTACTAGATATCAAGCAAAGAAAAGTTAGGGTGTACAATTCAAATGCTAGAAGAGGTGATTCACTGAGGGATATCAGATCCTATTATGCAAGCATAACTGTGCTCCTGCCCAGAATTATGGATTATCACAGAGTCTACGAACTGATGGGTGAAGAGATTATGGGTGAACGGTATTTGGAAGTAGATCCTGTAGAAGGATGTCCACAACAAGATGATGGGTAAGAGCATATAAATTTACTTAAACAGATTGCGTAATAGTGAACTTCTTTATTATTTTTAAAAAATGTTTTTTCTTTATGTTATGCATCAGGGGAAACTGTGGAATATACATGTTGAAGATGGCAGAATTTCTAATGGTAGAGATGGACATGGATGCCATATATCCTGAAGCAATACCCTTGTTTAGGGAAAAAATGGCAACTGAGCTGGTTCTATACAGCCAGAGAAGGCAGGCTGAGAAAGAATGAAGTGCAGCTTTTAATATGTAATAGTACTTTTGGAACATCCAGTACATTTGTTTTGAAACAATTATGCTTATCCTTTGTTATTGTTTTGAAACAATTATGTTTATCATTTGTGATTGTTTTCGAACAACATGTTGTTTGACTTTGTTATTGTTTTTCGAACAGAACCTATGAATGTATGTTTCAAATGGTAATAGTTCATAGGATACTTGTGTTCATCTATACTTGTGTTAATTTTTAGATGACATTTGTGGTATCATCAATTGACATGATATATAAACATATGTCATTTTTAATAATTAAAATGACATCAGAGAATTGATCTGCAATTGTGAGTAAAGAACATTTGAATGATAGAATTTTGTTTATATGCAGAATGGCTAAATCAATACCTTAAATGTTTAAGGAAATTATAACTACTTCCAATGAGTTGGCAAAGGTAAATCACTGGGTATTCATTGGAATGGGATTCCTGCAAGTTTATTCAATTATGTTTATGTACAGGATACTTGTAGTTTCATATGCAAGGATTGTTTGTGGGGTCAGATTTGAGTACATGCAGCATGTAAATGACATAAAATGACAGTTACATGACATTTTTTAGAAACCCAAATGACATCAACAATGAATAATATCAATTACGCATATACAATAGGACATCACAATATTGACATGCCATTGTGGGCAATGGAAATGGCTAAATTTATTACACTGACATCAAATGTCAAATACATCATTGACTTCTATCCATAACAAACTGTCATCAATTGTGAACAGAAATTGCCATCAAATCTGACATATGTCAGTTACGAGTAAACAAAATGCCAAAACACAAGGCCTGAAAACTAAATGGCAGAACATTTAAACAAATGATAACTGTGTCCAAACCACATAATAGAATTCTTAAAAGTACTTTATAAAAACAAAAGACAAAATACAATGAATTAGCCATGGGTATCACTGGGTATTGATTGGAATGGGATTCCTACAAGTTTTCTTATTATGGCCAAGCACATGGCATCTAGAACATTTTTGTCTTTTTGAACCTCTATATTCTCCAATGGATGGAATCCTGGATTTCTTCGGGCGACCAGGAGGACGCTTCATACAAGTTGGTGGCTTGCATAGTTGGTTTTGAATAGTAGCAGGAACAGACCAACTGTCACGATCAACAATTGGATGCATAATACCAGACCATGTAGCAAGCCAAGCATCTCTAGTATAAAAAGGAGAAATGTAAGTATAACATGACAGATGTGGGCGTATAGCAATTGCAGCAACAGCATGAACACAAACAAAATGATCTAGTTGAAAGTGGCCACAAGTACAACTTCTAGAGTTGAGATTGACCACAAAGGACGTGCATCTGCTATCAACAACTTCAAATTCATATGCGCATGATGGTTTCACCTAGGAAATGGCCAAAATATGAATATCAAATTAGAATAAAAATGAAGTACCTAAACAATATACTAACACAAGAACAAAACTGACAGATATGCAGAATCAAAATGACATAATGATAAACAAAGTGGCATTATATAACCAGATAAAAAACTGAGAACTGACTTATGGTTAAAAATCAGCTTTGACATACCTTCATACGTGTAGCTTCAGCTTGCAAAGCTACAAGACGTTTCTCACATTTCCGTGTGAGTATAGTACTTGTTTTCTCAGCTTTATCTTTCCTCTCTGTGAACCATTGTTGCATCCTTTCATGCAAAAAATCAACAAGTTTAGAGACTGAATACTCTCTTGCACATACATTGACTTTGTTCATAGACTCAGCACAATTGGAGGTCATAATATTATATATCTTTGGTCCAGAAATTACTTTTGACCATGTGTTAGCACCTATTTTGTCTAGCCAAGTCCTTATCCTGGAGTTTTCAGAATCCAACATGGATAAGTAGTCATCATATTCTTTAACAGTTGCTGCCATATAGGCAGCTTTGAATTTCCATCCCAAAGTAGCTGCAGATCCTCTAAATTTGTGTGTCATGTTACGACGCAGATGAGCAACACAAAAACCATGGCTAGCATGTGGCAAGATTTCAGAAACAGCCTTTATAAGACCTTTATGCCTATCAGATACTACATAAAGGTCATGTCTGTACTGTATTGACTGACAGACTTTGGATAAAAACCATTTCCAAGAAGATTTTGTTTCAGACTCACAAATACCAAATGCAATAGGAACTATGTGATCATTGGCATCTTGACAACAAGGTGTAAGAAGAGTGCCTTTATAGTAAGCCTTCAGGAATGAACCATCCAGTATAAGAACAGGTCTACAGTGAGGCCAAGCTTCTATCCATGCTCTGAATGACATAAAAAAGGTACAAAATGCATCATCCTTCCCTGTGACTAGATCAAACATAGAGCCAGGATTCGCCATCTCAAGCACATAAGCCATAGAAGGCAAAACCTGATAGGATTCAAGATCAGAACCAAATTGCAGCTGCATTGCTTTCTTCTGTGCTTTCCAAGATTTTTTGTATGACATGGAAATTCCATATTGCATACTCATGTCTTCACGAATTTGTTTTGGTGGGTACGGTTTATTGGAAGCATCAAGGTATTTGTGTGCAATAAGTTTTGCTATCACAGTAGCAGTTGCCTGTCTATGTTTGCCTTGTCTATAATCAATAGAGCATGTGTGTTCTGGACAGAATCTAAAATGACAAAACAATGGCAGTTTTATACAAGTGAGTAATATACAATTGGCATTCTTGGACAAGAATGTCACCAATACATGGCATTCTGATAAACAAGAATTAACAACGAAGTCAAACAAAAAGAATGAAATAAGAAGTTACCTTCTAATTTGAAACATTTGTACGCCAGGTAGTCTTACAGCTCGAACAGTCCAACGACATTTTGGATCTAAGCAAATAACATGTAAAGATATTTTCCTAGAGGTCTTTGTTCTGTATTGAAAGTAGTTTGTGATAGCATACATCTTCAGATGGTGGATAAGGTCTGTTTTACTTTTGTAAATAGCATATAGAACAAGACAAGTAGGATGGGACTGTGTGATGACTTCAAAATTGTGGAGAAATGACAGTGACTGAGATGATTCTATTACTAAGCCATCTGACATGTCATTCATGCCTTCATCACTGTCTTCAGATGTTTCAATTTCTACATCTCTAGACACAGTGTTACTACAAGAAGCAACATCTTGAGAGTGTCTACCAGAGATGTTAACATTTTCAGTGCAAAAAGATGAGCTATGATCAAAAGAGAGTGCAGGTGAGGAGGCATGTTGTTGGGAAGAAACAACAACATTCTCATCAACAAAAAGTGAATGAGTTGAAGAATTGACAACATTTTTAGCTGAAGGAAAAGCAGAAGGTTCAACACCAACAAAAGATGGATATGAAGAAGAGATAGGATAAAACTCAACACAAAGTGGATACTTTAGAAAATCTGGTTGAAGAGACTTGATATAAAGATAAAATGTTAAGGTAGATTGATCATTTATAGTTACAGGAGGAGGGAATCCATCTCTCATATAAGAAAGCCTGAAATTATGATTAGGTTTGTACTGAGAAAGGATGGCAGTCAACATATCAACAAAACAAGCATATTGAACACCATAGTTAACATGAAGCCCACATGTGTGCACATTGGTGAACACATAGTCAGAATCCCAAAAACCATCGACCTTGACCATAACAAGTAAAACAGGATCCATTGTGCAAAAAGGTTCCTAAAAATTGAAGGAAAAACAAATATTTCAATATAACAGAAGCATGGAAGAAGAAAGTTGGTTATACTAAAATGACAGTTTGCGTGAATATGTGACAGTCTATAAGGATGTATAAATAATATTTACCACACAAAATGGCAAATCAGCAAACAATACAAAATGACAGTTACAAATACAAAAGAGCCAGTTATGAAGAACCTAATCTAGTACTTACAGCAAGACACAATTTAAACACCAAGATTAAACGCAGAAATAGCAACATACGAAGAAATTTCATGAAATAAAAGCATTGATAGAGTTGATGAAAAGCAAACGAGCTAAATTATTAACAATAATGAATTTGAAATCGATTATAAAAATTTTGAATTTTTTGTTAATATTGTAGAAGCAAAATACAGAGGAATAAAACATATTGATGATTGCAGAACGACATGTGTACAACGGACGAAGTGACATATTCTAGAAGCAAAATGAGAGCAATTGCAACATAAATTTAACCATGATTGGTGAAGAAGGACTATACAGGAAAGTTTCGGTGAACATACTCTGCAAACGAACGAACAATGGCGGAAGAAGATGAATGCAGAGGAGAAGGACGAACAGCTCAAACAAATCGCGAAGAAGATGATTGACGAAGAAGAAGAATAACGCGAAAAAAAAAACAGAGTACCTCAACTGACTTCCCAACTGATTTAGGAAACTGATTTTCTGGAAAGAATCTCGATCAAAGAGGGAAACTAACGGAAACTCATAAATGGTTTCACACATGGATTACCGAAAATAGCCGGTAACACCTGCGGCGTAATGGCAAACATAAGCAGGGGTATTTTGGATATTGCTTAAAGCGTTAAACATACCTGTAGAACCGTATAACTCCTATTAGAGGGAATAAAACATAGTAAGTCCTATTATGGCTTTTTAAGTAAGTTTTAGTCCTATTATGGACAATTTTTTCAATTACAATTGCTTGTAGAATAAGTTAAGAGAGATCTAATTTATTCTAGGACACATTCACACACACTTAATCGCTCGCTACGAGATTAGTAGCGATTAAGGGGCCGTAATCTCGCTCGTCTTGGCAATAATTTAGGATCCTGTCGAATGAGAGATCAGCCTGGTCCCCTAAATTATTGTACTCTACGCTGCGAGAGCGGTAAGAACTTAGTAAAGACTAGCTAGGCTCAATTAAATTAATATCATGTAATTAGTTTCATATGAAATCCAACTTCAAGGGCTACAAATAATATGAATACATCATTGCGAGAATAGGAGAGGAAGAAGGTGAAAACGGACTATAAAGTCAGATTATACCTGTTGCGCTTTCAGAATGAGACCTTTCACTAGTTTATTCATATCTCCTTATTGGATGATTCAAATCCAATTCGGTAAAATGTGGTGGATAGAGAACTTCATTATCGACAACTTTCATGAAGGAAGTTGTGTAAAATTCGGGCTAGAGAAACGGTGAAAAACAGGACTGGAGAAACGGTGAAAAACCTTGTCCTAGTTCGACCAGAACTCGAATTTCTTCCCTTTTTCTATAAATAAGGCCTTCCTAACCCTATTTTGGAGGGGGAGCTTAGAGAGAGTGCCTAGAAAGAAATTTAGAGAGCTTTTCAGCCTTGTTCATCAATCTTTTGGGATTCTTTGTAAGTTCCATCTTTTTAATTAATGACAATTAATTCTATTCAGCTCAATTCTGTTGATTCTTCAATTATGAATTGTGAGTAGTTTAATTAGGGATTTGGGATTGATGAAGGGGTTAATCATGATGTATGGCTAGATTCTTGATGGATTCATTGCATGAATGTCGTTTAATTTGTGTTTGAATAATTTAACTGATATCTCTTGTAACCTAGAACGCGCGCTAGAATTACAATTGCTTGTAGAATAGGTTAAGAGAGATTTAATTTATTCTAGGACACATTCACACACTTAATCGCTCGCTAAGAGATTAGTAGCGATTAAGGGGCCGTAAGCTCGCTCGTCTTGGCAATAATTTAGGATCCTGTCGAATGAGAGATCAGCCTAGTCCCCTAAATTATTGTACTCTACGCCGCGAGAGCGGTAAGAACTTAGTAATGACTAGCTAGGCTCAATTAAATTAATTTCATGTAATTAGACCTGATCTGCTAGAAATCTGGTTACCCCGGAATCAATCCCTATTCCCTTCGTCGTTAATTAGAAAGAACCCCTTAGCTTTAATATTCGTTTAATTGCAAATTTAATTTTTCTCCAAACAATCAAATCTCGCACAATTTATTTTATTTTATTTCTTTTTAATCGCTGAATTTAATTAATTTTTAATTCCCTTTTGTCCGTCCTTGTGGAGACGATACTCGTACTTACACCCTTTATTACAATCTATTTTAAGTGCGAGAAAACTCACATCAGTTTTTGGTGTCGTTGCCGGGGACGGTGTCGATTTTAAGGGTTAATTAATTTCAACGAGATTTTTTTAAGTTAGTTTTCTTTTTGTTTTCCGTAGGATTTTTCTGTGCTAACCTTTCAGGTATTTTTCTAAGAGGCATGAGATGAACTCATTCAGCCAAATTCCTGGAGGAATTCCTCACCCTCAAACCTCCATGGAATATTCACCATATACGTCATACTCTCCTTATACTCCTCCTCCTCCTCCTCCTCCTCAATTCTACACATCTCACCAATATTATTCTTCTACACCACAAAATTTTCCATCTTCCTATTCTTACCCTCTTCAAAATACGCAATACTCCCAATCTCATTCTCCTAATCATTATCCTTATCCACAATATCCTCGGACAAAACCAGGCTCCATGATGGAATTTCTCATTCGAACTAAAAGTCCTAAGGAATTGGTTGATTGCTTTCCTAAAAATAGCATTTTTCCTTGTGGAGGTGGTCCCCATTCATGTCTTTGCCCCATTCCTCCAAATGACCATCCTTACTGGGCAACTGCATACCCCACTTCTTCCTCCCCACAATTTACAAACACAAATGTTTTAGCCATTCCTACATCCTTGCCAAGTAATGAGCCACAGAATCAGTGTAAGAATACACTTTCAGAAACTTTGTTTGAGTGCCTAAAGTATATGAGGGAGAGCACTTTAGCCATGACGCAGAGCACTTCAAACATAATGCGGGATATAAATATCATAAGGAGCCATCTGGTAGAAGCCCAACCCGAGGAGACCAATAACGATGATCACGTGAGCGAATATGATGGATGATACCCTCCCAGATGCTTTTGAAGATCCACCTATGGTTGAACTTGATCAAAATTATAGTAGTCTCGAGTTGTTTTTCCAAGAATACAGGCAAAAGTTTCGAACGGTACAAGCTGTAACTGACAAAGTCACAAATCATTGTGATTTCCATATAGAAACTCCCCATTAGCATATTCTACAAGCAATTGTAATTCTAGCGCGCGTTCTAGGTTACAAGAGATATCAGTTAAATTATTCAAACACAAATTAAAAGACATTCATGTAATGAATCCATCAAGAATCTAGCCATACATCATGATTAACTCCTTCATCAATCCCAAATCCCTAATTAAACTACTCACAATTCATAATTGAAGAATCAACAGAATTGGGCTGAATAGAATTAATTGTCATTAATTAAAAAGATGGAACTTACAAAGAATCCCAAAAGATTGATGAACAAGGCTGAAAAGCTCTCTAAATTTCGTACTAGGCACTCTCTCTAAGCTCCCCCCTCCAAAATAGGGTTAGGAAGACCTTATTTATAGAAAAAGGGAAGAAATTCGAGTTCTGGTCGAACTAGGACAAGGTTTTTCACCGTTTCTGTAGTCCTAATTTGACACAATTTCCTTCATGAAAGTTGTCTATAATGAAGTCCTCTATCCAGCACATTTTTCCGAATCGGATTTGAATCAACCAATAAAGAGATATGAATAAAATGGTGAAAGGTCTCATTCTGAAATCGCAACAGGTATAATCTGACTTCATAATCTGTTTTCACCTTCTTCCTCTCCTATTCTCGCAATTATGTCGTCATATTATTTGTAGCCCTTAAAGTTGGATTTCATATGCAACTTGAATCGTGTCCTTTGGAAGTTTCTACGAAAAGATATGCTTGAACAATTGACATAAGGTCATTCTGAAAGCCATTTTCAAGCTCTATTTGTCTTCTTTTGATCCCGTAGCCACTCCTAGAGCTCTCTTGTCATCAAATCTTCATTGTGAATCTCTCGGTGACCTCCAAAGCTCTCATTTCATTCTCGAATGCTTCTCGAATCATCCCGATTGCTCCTCAAGCGTCAGTGCAGAAATTTAATTCCTGATTTTGACTCCAAATAACACAAAACTCGAACCAACGTCCGGTAAACATAACTTGAGCTAAAATTGAGACTTGTGACACAAAATAATTAGGAAAACCATCAAAAGTC